ACACACACTGTTTCTCCACCCTGATTGCCAGCTTCCCCCACTCCCAACCCTACAAACTGACTACCGAGCACCATAAGCATCCTTCCACTCCAATTAGAGTGTGAATCACTGACATTTTTAAAGTTCTGCCTCAGAGAGAAAAAAAATACAATAAAATAAATAGAAAAACACTCATTTAATAAATCACATGTGTTATTCTAATGGCTGGAGAGGGTTAAGACCAGTGAGTGTATCTCTTTCAGGGCAAAACGACAAGATATTTCATGATATGTTGTGTCACTGTAGTGAAGAGACCGGGCTCACTGAAGTAAAAACAAATGAGGAGCTCATTCTGATGATTCATATGTTCTAGGCACACTGTACAAATGAGTTTTTAATTATGAATGGTGCTGCCTCTTGTGGTGAGGTCATGTTTTTTAAATACCTAAGTTTTTAAAGCCATTAGCCTGAGAGAGAAGTGATTTGTATTTGCTTTGGTCGATGGCTGACTCGATGCTTACGTCACCTTCTCCCAGAGCCGAATGAATGGGAGTGACACGACATAATCATCATTGTACACTTATGAAACATGTATGCATTAGGAAGAACACTACCTTGGAGCCCGTGGTTTGTTGATGAATTAGCATTTGGGGGCAACGACCACTATTTTGAGGCTTCTGGTGTACAGTGGATATCTGGGGCCAAGACTCTTTTGTTTGGATTACACTATTTATAATCTTAACAGTTTTTCTTTGTCACATTTCTCCACACAAAACACAAACAGTGATACTTTTTATAAATTAATTAAAAAGCTGATAGCAAATGCATTTCAGTGAATATGTTCTTTTGCTCTCCACAAGTACTGTTTACCTTCAAACGTCATCGGTCAAACTACAAACACTAACAGGAAGGCTTAAGGCCCTAGAATCTGGTCTCTCGTCTTTAAATTCTGTTTATTCACGTGTATAATCTGGTCGATAACCTCAGCTGATGTCACTCTAGTCTGAGTCATTTGATTCTACAAGAAAGATCTGTAGGTGTAGAACCGAGGGTCTAACCATCTACACTTGATGCATGAGGATATATTAGACTTTAATAGCACACAAGGCTCTGACTGCACTGTCGCGTTGCATTGTGGGTTTTGTAGGCGCCAGGTTTTGACAAGCATGAAAAATGTGTGGAATAAAAAAAAGACGTTATCTCTGGTTCTGCTGCATTGATTTCTGCCTTTTCCTTTCATTGTCCAGGATAAGTCCGACAATGTTATGAAAGTACAATGTTAAATCGATGGAGTGCTCGTTTAAGCATTACGTTCTCTGGGAAAAAAAGCATTTGTCAGGATGGAAGAGAAAAAAAAACACTTGTGGATGCCAGATCAAAACCAAAGAGTTCAGCTCAGAGACGTTTTACTTATGTAAGAGGGTGATATATGAATATATGATATAGGGCTTTGACTGTGTGTGTCTGCCTATGACTTCCTGTGATGAGCTGAACTTTGCTCCCCGACTCAGTGTCTGTCTGTTTGGCGAAATGCTCCTGACCCAGAAGTCACACACTGTCTGGGGCTAAACCACTGTGTGTGTGTGTGTGTGTGTGTGT